ACAGTGCCCAAAGTGGAGACGACGGTAAGGATGATGGCGACAACGTAGACGACGGCGACAACAAAGGCGATGACGTCGCCGCTGCCAATACTGACAGCAACAAAACGACAACATCAACAACAACAACAGCAACAACAACAACAACAACAACAACAACAACAACAACAACAACAACAACAACAACTCTTATTGGTGATGGTGCCATCGTGGGAATAAAGAATTGAAACAACAAAAACCTCAACAAAAGAGACAACAGCTGAATGCCAACATATTCGGGTATTGACATAAGTCCCGGATCAGTAGATCGTCAGAGGATGATGCAAGATGTTTGTGAGGAATGGTCACTTCCTCTGCCATGCGCATCCCTGATTTGCTCTATCATTAGTGGCTCCCTCATGCCGCGAGCCATGACGTCAAGTGTAGACTCTGTCAGCTCCACATCTGGCTCGCTGTTCCGGGCATTCTGCCTTTTGCGCCACCATACTGCAAACGACAGGTCCTTGAGCAGACCATAACCACCTTGTCTTGAGAAACATTGCTTGACTACGCATACTACAAGCAGGAGAGCATTCATGGCTCCCAGTAGGGCCAATGCCGCGGTGTGCATCGTACGACGCCAGCCTTCGTCCTCGTCGAATGCGTGGGATTCGAGGCTTGCAATAAGCGAAAGGCCGAAAAGAAACATGCTCTCCCATGTGTTGGCCGATACTCCGACGAGGTTGTGGCTCCGAAATGGCCTGGATCACCAAACATAGAACACACAAAAGGATATCCGTTGTTTGAAAGTGGAAACATCTAAATAGAAAAACTGAACCTGCACACCATACATTCCCTTGCCTGGATGTGGAGAGCCTCCTTTTCCGGCAAAATAAGCATTGTGGATATAAATGGAAACTGAAATTGATACAAATATACAATCCCAGTAAGACAATAATTAATAATACTGAACCCCAAAGCATAAGTAATCTGTGATGGTGGCAACTAAGCTGAGAGTATCAACGTGTTACAGGTGCCGTTCTACACTGCAGTAGTAGCGGTGTGTGAATAGCGCCACCCCGTTCTAAAGAACCATCTTAAAAATACGGCACGAGAAGGCTAGGGTTGACCTGACTCTTACCTGCATTGAGTGTGAAATGCGAAATAACACCAGAAAAATGCGGTGAGAGCCATTATTCGACTTTTCTCGCTTCCAGTCATCATCACGCTGATGATTGCTACTGCCACTCTTCTCAGTAAGTTCACAGAGGCCCACCAGCGGCGATCGTCCTTGTAGAGACTACTGGCCTCGTCAATGAATCCCTTCAGGTGGATGCTGCGTTGGCACTGCGGAATGGCGAGGATTAGTGGCGGTGGAATTATGACCAAGAGGATAATCAGCCCTGCCAGGATAGTGTGCAGCATGTGTTTGCCATTGTAACACTTGATGGCGCCATCCATTACCAGAACATCTCCTCTGTGGCTCAGGCGTGTGCACCACAGGGTATTCATGCTGGTGAAGACCAACACGAAATAGCTGTACACCAGCACGAACCACATGACGCGTACGAGCAGCATGTGACTTTGCAGACGTTGAACATACTTTCCGGTTACGTTGTATGACCTCAGCACCCTCACCGTCATGAAGAGGAAGAGTAGCGTCATTGGTTGCAACAGAAGGAGTTGGCCGCTGTCCAGTCTGTCCAGTGGCTCTACGAAGCAAAGATTGCCTAGGCCAAATGTCAGTATTGAGTGAATCGCGGCATGGATTGGTGATTTGTCTTTGGGGAACACGTACCAGCAGGCCTGGGTACAAAGGAAAGACGAAAGGAGAACGGCATGACAACTTATAAGGGCACAATGCTTGATTATCTTCATCAGGAGAATATAAAAGCAGAAATGAGAGTAAGTACTTCATGTACAAGTATTGATCTTGACTGAAGAGCGGTCGGTAACAGTTTCCAAACGTTCTTGGAACTTCCAACAGTGTTCTGATCCACGGTTTGTTGTTCGCCGCCCTCCCCATCTCCGCATACCTTTTCAGAAACATTCGCCTGACTGTTAGGAATGGTTCACGCACATCTCACGGTTTGGAATAGTGGTTACACAGTCTAGGCCCACCCACAATGCATCAGCTCTAGCCCGGGCTTCAATATCTTTCTAACTGAAGTGTCCAATCGTTTCCTGGACGCTTTGGTCTAATCTGCAATCTCACATCAATTTTTGCACTTACATCGATGAGTTTACCAACCATGCAACTCTCTCTCATCGGTATACAGCAAAACCTGTCAAGGCGACCACTCAGTTAAGGTGACCACATGCCCTAGAAGACCACTGAAACCAGGACCAAAGGATGCTACTTCCATTGAATTGGCCCTGGATAAGGAGACCACCTGGTAACAGAGACCACATTTTGAAGGTCCATTGAGCGGTCGTCTTAGACAGGGTTCACTGTAGTTATGCGCTAGTGGACTAAGGTGGATGGATAAGTGAAACGTTTTCCAAGATATCAAAAAATGCCCTGCATAATTCAATTCGGCTGGACAATGTGGACCACTGTAGTGCAAAAGTGTTGTTGTATCCAATGAGGGTTTGCTTCTGGCTCTTTTTAAAGCGAACTTCTCACCGCGTATGCTACTTTTACATGTATGTCCAACACAAAGGGAATTTCAGCCTCTAGATCCGAAAAAGGGGGCTTATGTCGTTTTGCGCAGTATTTAGAAAAATGCATTTGAAATTTTAGTTTTCCTCATAAAGCGATGTATAATTTACTTATTGATAACTCAAATGCCCCCTTTTGGGATCTAGAGGTTCATTTAACGTTCGTTTCCATCCGGCTGTCATAGGTGTAGTGAAGGTTGAGAATGTGAAACATCCTCTGCTTGGATAAAGATTAAAGAATACACCAGAGCCTCGCTAGTGTAATGCACATGCTTATGGCTTTAAAAGTATTGATGGCAAGAGTCATTTATTTCTTACGACTTTTCTTTTTCTAATCCCTCAAAATCTATTGACTGTGGGCAACAGCTCGCAAAAAGTAAAACACGAGAGCACTTAGAGCATGAACTGGTGCACCATACCTGAATAAGGAACAGCCAGCTATCCAGTACTGGGGAAAGACCGAAGTTGAATCGTAACATTAGCAGGAAGCTAGCTACTGTCAGCACAATCGTTGTGACCACGTACCAGTGTAAGCGTATTCGACGAGAGGAGAGCGAGCAATGTTGGCATTTCTTGAAGGAGAGTTAGATGACAAACAAGAAGACATTAATGTGAGAAAAGAATACCATACCATGTCATCTAACGCATACGTGTCTCGGGAGAATGAAGTTAAATACGGCAATGCAACTGTACGTATGGTGGATTCAAATGGTGGCAAATACACACCTTGTGTCTGCTTTGAGCCATTTTGTCGCACTCGCTGACTGTAAAGGATCTGGTTGTGTTGTTGGACAGTTGGTTATAACTCGTTCATGTTTACCTTCTTCTGTTTATAGACAGGTTATGCCGCGCAGTTTTCCATGTTTTCCATATCTTACACGAAGGTACTGTTTCCTTCAATAACTTGAGCAGCATCTAAACCTCTCCGCTTCAAAAATATTATTTTGAAATCCCGTTATTTGCCCAAAGACTATAATAAAGAAATCATCTCACTCCCTGAGGGAATCGTACCAAATCCTACCATTCGACTTGTGGCAAGCAAGGGGATAGAGATGGGAGCGAGATGAAATCATTATTTTCTATCTATTTACCTGAGTGGCGAGTGTCTGCCAGTATCCCAGTAAGCAACGACCGCACAGTGAACCAGACGAATATCCTGGACAGGATTGACCTTCGCCATACTTCCAGTCGCGATTAAAACACAGCCCGTTCTTGCATTGCGCTATCTCGAACGGGTAGTCGACGTACCTCGTAAACGTGTTCGAGCCCTCAAAAGGAAGCGACTCGTGCATCTCCCAGGTCACCAAATCTGAAAGACTGCGCTCTCCTTGCAAATCTGGGATGTTGAATGGGTTGCCAGCCCAATAGCCAGAGCGGATACTCAAATGGCGGCCTTTTGTGCAGTTGCGGATACCAGGTAATTGTAATTTACTGCATTCGCATGTCCAGAACGTCTTTTTGCCTAACATTGTTCCGGATTCCTGAGCGAAAGACAAATAATCAATGTAGAAAGTAAAGAGACATATAGATACGAGTTAAGAGTGACTGTCCACCACTGGATCTAGATACTATATACAGTCAAAGAGTGCTACAACTGGGCACAAAACTGACAGAGTACTGAGACATTCGACGACCTGTTACCTAGCTTCAAAATATCTCCGTATGTCCCTTTCCTTTCGACATTTTATTATTATTGGCTCAACATTCGAGTTTTTCGAAAGAAAAAGTTCAGAATAGCATAGCTGACAAGGATAAATGGAATACTTCCAACCTAAGGATTGCATGACACTAGAAGAGGAAAAATTGTCACAAATAACCCGAATTTCGGAATGAAAGCCTTTAGTAAAAGGTTTTTTCATTTGACCCGACGAGACCACACGACGCTTGCAGATCACAGCACGAACAGTTCACCAGCCACACTCCACGAAAGCAAGTAGTAGTAGTACTCCTGACAAGTCTTGTTTCGTTCCATAGAGATATAATGGCGAACTCATCAGAGGAGAAGCAGTTGTTGAATGAATGGGTCGTGTGGTCTCATCGGGTCAAATGGAAAAACCTATTACTACTATTAATTTTGACGGACCTATTGAAGATGGCACCAAAGAAAAATGAAAGCCTTTGATGATCTATTGTACTACTCGGTAATATGGAACGTAGTCGAGTACTTGATCACACTGTAAGTTACATCGTACAAGTACATGTATATGGGTCACCTTTCCAGAAATAAGCATCCGTCTTTCAAGGTCACCTTTCATTTATTATGAGACCACGTGCCCTGACCTAATACTAATAGACCAGTATATTATGTAAGGACACACAAAACATGTCAACATGTAGTTTGGAAAATATGTTGAAAGACCGCCTTTCGTTTGAGACTGGTTCTTTCGGCACAGTAAAAATATCTTTTACAAACATACACATTCTGCATGAATAGGTGCAGGTGCTTTATGAAGATCACGAGGGACAATGTATACTTGCTGATTCCTTGACACACCTGCAACACACAAACAACTACCTTCTTCACAGGGCCATGGAAACCCTTATGGCATGGGCGAATCTTGAACGGTATCTGAAGCTTGAATCTTGCCCGCGAAAGCTTAACTCTGGCGCTGTTGCAGCCTTTAATGCTGAGCAACAGCCAACCTACGGCACCGGGCTGCCCTCCTACAGCAATTCCAGTGAGGCCGTCTTTTGATAGAAACTCAACGCTGTGCACAGGCTCGTAACCAAGGGATGATGCATCGCCATCGTATCGCAAGAGAGTAACCGGAGCTTGCCGCCTATTGGCGTTCGCCACCTGTGTCAGGGACAACAGTAATATATGCAACGGTTGAATAATTATCTTATGTGCAAGAGTGAGAGAAAATGATTGTGTTCAATGGCGTGTGCATGCGTGGGTTTAGCACTTCTAAGTCCCCAGCTCTACAATGTATTTATTCACACTGGAACTGCTGCTGCTATTCAGCCCCAAGTCTGAAGACTTAGCAACTTCCCGCCTACACTTGACTCGTGTGCTATACGGTTCCCCTCAGTATTTTTCGCCTTGCACCGCCTTATGTTCAGCCTGGCCGTTTGGAAGCCATCAGACCGCGATATTCATGTTAAAACAAAAGGGCGTCACGATTTATTGAAAGTGGTATAGTTGGTGGTACGAGTGTTCAAAACCATTTGAACTTCATCCTGTTCGTCTTCTTTTTGACATGCTCTCTTTCCATCGTCCTTAACTTTTGTTTGTTGTGAGCTGTTTTGGCTTTCTCCGGTACCTCTGGGAGATGCCAAGTGATGGTTTTGAGAGGCAGGTGATGGCTGTGAGCGAGAGTTTGCGGATCGGCGTCGTCCTCGCTGTAGCGATGAAAATACTAGTTACTGCGCACCTGGCAGATATCACAACACGTCGGAGCGTCCAGGAGAAAAGGAATCTTGGGTTTTCACTGGAATCTAGTTCCTCCAGCATCGTGTAGCCCACCGTCGGTGAATGGCGGTCCAGAAAGGTCGAACCTGGTCTTCTGCAGCACCTCGCAGTCCTGCGAGGCATGCCGTGTACGCCTGCCATGTATTGTAAAAATAAAACTCATGCAGTAGTGGACTCTACAGTGATAAGTCTCAGCCTGTATGCTGCAAAAGACACAGGAAATGTGACTGGTGTCTGTACACTCAGTGACTGGACGCCAACACCCCAGTCTTCTCCTGCAGGATCTGTTTGACATTGACATTATGCAGTAGGTCGGCATTGACCTGGTTTGGCAGCTATCGTAATAGTATCTGCCTGGTTGGATGTAGCAGGTTGGCGTTTGCTCGTCGTCCAGTCCGGAATTTTCTTGTAACTCACGGTGGAGTGCGCGCAGGGTTTGTGATCATCCCTGTTCACTTCAATTATCAAACACAACGTTCCCTTTGTCACTCATCCTATCCTAAGTACTGAATTTGCTGACCATATTGCACCACACTTGTCACAACCTACCGCCACTGCTGGCGGTGGCGACTGGTTCGTCAATGGCGGTGACCAGGCTGACTGACTAGCTTCGAGACAGCGGCCTCGTTGTCAACCCCGCGGCAGCCTAAAGGTTGATTTTATCGATCCAGCCTCAGCGCCATGTTGACGATGCCCTAGTGACTGTGTGTCATGGATTGCCTTGCCATCAGCGGTCATTGCCGTCCACCTTGGTGCAGCCCTCAACAACTGGCTCAGCCCATGGGAGTCTCAAGTGGACAAAGTTGTTGCCAAAGTAGCTCAGAAGATTGGTGCATCGTGGTGTAGGTGAGCACATATCTAGGACTTCCCAGCGCGTATTTGTCCAGGCTGCGATACTATGTGACATGCTGTACTGCACATTCTTTTCAGCACTGCAAGGCCGGCAGCTGGACCGACTGCAGGGGCCGCGCACATGCAGGCCGCCTGTTCCCAGTGCAGCATTCTGGAACGTTCCTTCCTTCTGATATCCGTGGAATAATAACTCTCTTTGCTTCAAAGCAAGTTGCTTACCTTTCTGTTGTGCTCCCAGTGTCCTTACAACAATAACCTACAGCAATGTTTTATTTTCCTTTCCATTCCCCAACCAATGAATACTACAATGTCGATTCTATTTCTGAATACTTTAGTGTGTGCCCGCGCACTCACGTGTGTTTTTTTTCTTTTTTTTTCTCTACAAAATCCACATATCTCCAGACACTGGGGTGAATGATGGAGTGTGGTGGTGGGGCCCATTAAGCTCCGCCGACCAGAGGTCTCGGCTTCATAGCTCCATGGACGCACCAAAGGGATATTGGGTGGGGAGGATTAAATTGTAAAAGAAAACAGAAGAAAGAAAATGGAAAGATTGTATTGCTCAGTGAGCAAAAGAATAAGTTGAATATTGATGTGAGCGCTGTTAGACTTTTGTGTGTGTGTGTATACCTCACTCGCCACTCGAAGTTCTGTTCCCCATTACTGGAACACTGCCTGTTCTTTCAGGACCTGCCATCATCTGCGGATGGGCATTCAATGATTGTATTGTGTGTGTGTGTGTGTTTCATTCAGAATCAGATCCGCTATCGTTGCTAAAAGAGAAAATCTGTGGGTTCACATCCAGTGCATTTGTAGATTTGCGTGCTTTTCTCGCTACGGGCGCATACATGGGACATTGTGTGTGTGTGTGTGTGTGTGTGTGTGTGTGTGTGTGTGTGCGTCTGTGTGTATGGGGATATTGCCTGTATCGGCTTTTGGTACTAATGTTCAGGTCTGTGCTTGCATGTGTGAACATGAAATTGTTCGGTTCTGTGCATGCTATTGCTATGTTGTATATTATTGTATGTATGTGTGCATTTCCACGAACAGTGTAGATGAGCGTGTAGAGTGCATTCATTACGCTTTGGCTTTATCAACATTTGTAGCCTTCGGCACAAAGTCGACGCCCTGGAGCAGCTGATCGCGGACCAGTGCTGGGGCATAGTCGGTGTTGCTGAAACATGGCTGGATGGCACAGTGTCTGATGGAGAAATCCGGATCCCAAACTTCAGTATTGCCCGTCAGGACCGTGCCGGTGGAAGAGGAGGTGGAACATGTATCTACTTCAGGTCGACCCTCCCCGTGAAGCCTCGCCCGGATTTGACGGCGGATGATGTAGAGTGCACCTGGATCGAGCTTAAAGGTGCCCGGGCGCCTCATCTCTTAGGGTGTGTGTACCGGCCGCCAAGTGAAACAGTTGCGTTCTGGCCCAGACTAGAGACTGTCTTACAGGCAGCCACCAACAACACCGGATCGGTCACGATGATGGGCGACTTCAATGTAAATGCTGACCCAGTTTCTCCTGGCCCACAATTGCGCCACATGCATGACACGTGTGGAAGCTATGGACTGCAGAACGTCGTGACAGCACCAACTCGTGTTCTGCCCCAATGTGTGCGTGGAACCATACTAGATCTAGTCTTGGTCAACCATGCCAGCTTAACATCCTGGAACATCGTACCATGTGACATCAGCGATCACTTATGTCTTTGCTGTGAGTGCTTCACTCAGCTGTGCTACTGAAGTAAGCCAGCCAGCGAGTTTGCTCCTCACTAGGCAGCTGCACAGAGTGGATATAGCAGCTCTCCGCGCTGACCTGCTTGCAGCAGACCTTCACATTTTTCCTCCATATGCGAGCGTCGACGATAATGTGGTCCACTTGGCACGCTAGCATAATGCGTGTACTGCACCATCATGCCCCGATGACCCCAGTTAAGAAGCGTTCCAGAAGAAGGCCATGGCTTAACAGAGACACTTACCAGCTAACGATGGCAAAGAATAGGCTGCATCGAAGATGGCTGCGAGACCGGGCTAACATAGCATTATTCCACCAGTACAAACGTGCTCGAACGGCGGCAGCAAACCTTGTCAGACGGAGGAAAAACCAGTACTTCAGTGATGAATGTGTTGTCAACAATCGCAATCCAAGGAAGATGTGGTCCCTGTTAAACTCCATCACTGGCAGAGGAGGAAGCAAGCAAGACCCTGC